ACTCCCAGAGCACCAGAGAAGTTAATGACGATCATCTGACGTCCGACGCTCGTGACTTTAACGTGGTCGATCCAGATGCCTGTAGGGATTGCACCGTTATCTCCGCTGATACCAATAGCATCACCACCCCATACGTATTGAGGGTTTAAATCGGTGACGTGGATGTTCTGAACGATGACGTTGTTGCCCTTGATTTCGATACCTTTGCCAGTGAGTACACCTTTTGTGCCCTCACCTACCAGAGTCTTGTTACTGGCAACTTTCAGCGGCGTCTTGGCCGCCTTGTCGTACGTCACTTTAACCATGGTATTATCACAAGTGGTGAAGGTCGGCTGAATCGTATCTTGCGGCTCAAAGCCGTTCTTCTTCGCGGCACAGTCAGCCGCCCCTTTTGAATGGCAACCGTCCTCCGTAGTGCTACCTTCTGACTCCATAAAGTTGAATTCCTGCTTTAGTACAATCACACGAGGTTCGTCGTCGCTGAGGTATGTCGAGAGCTCTTTGATGGTGGTGGGGTACACTGGCTCGACGTCTCCACCGCCCGTGGTGCCCGCAGCGAACCCCGGAGGTGAGCCCGACACAACTGAGGCAGCTCTAGCGAGTGAACTCTGTGCTAGTGTCATCGCAAGCAGCGAGCTCACGAGCACGCCTGTGCGGCGACCAAAGCTCACCATCTTGCTACGATAAGGAGTTTGCTAAACTGTACCCGGGGGTAGTGAATCCAACAATGGGCGAGACGTGATCGAGAGAGCAAGCGAAAAGAGGAATGATGCCGTCACAAACCACATTTGATCAGGCATTTTGATGGGGATTTTTGAAAGCCAGATGATACCCACCGAGATCTGCCCGAAGTGTAACGTGTGTAAAAAAAAAGCTGGACTGTGTTGTCGTTAGAACCAGTAAAGCCTCAAGCTAACGCATTTTGAGATTACAGAACAGTTTAACTGTAAACAACTGCTCCATCTTACAGATCCATGCAGCTGAAATTGAGGACCTTCGCGTTCAACAGTGGACTGGAATGATACCCCATTAACGATGTGTCGATGAGGGAAGTAGCTTGACGAAGCCTGCGCTTCCGAAAACAAGCCACTTTTTTTTACGTGAAACTTAATGGGAGTTTACAAAAGTCCGATTTGTACTAGGTCTTTTGGCCAAACCATTAATACAATCGAAATTCGTATTAGTCACGGTTGTGCAGTCTTTCCGTGGCGTGGTGGGTGACTAAATAGATACCACGTTTACGTGATTTATACGAACAGGGGTGCCCTACTGCGCTGTGTGCACGCTCAGTCAGATGCCTGATATCGAAGTTGCTTAAGCTGTCTTCCACAAGAAATTACTTCGATAGCAGTCGTGAGTGAAGAGTCTACTTTAGTTTCAGCGAGCTGAGGATAACCCGCAACAGCGTTGTATATTCAATCGATGCGCGAAACTAATTTACTTGCATTTCACAGCAAGGAGGAAGCTTACGTTCGTCGGAACAACCGGCTAGATATTCATCTCAAAACTTGAAATTGCACGATATATATTAAAATAAAGAAAACAGCGCTGAACGACTCGGATTCGACGTTTACAAGGACGTACAGTGTACTGTTGACCCCCAGTAACATCTGCCATGGTGGGGCTATCCTCCTATACAGCTGATCCGTAAATGAACCGCAACGTGCGATTCGCAAATGCGAAGCGCTCACTCCCCACGTACTATTTAGTGGGACGACACGGAGACTGGATATCGCCAGAGGGGTAGAGAAATACCCCACCACCAACTTTTCTGGTTTTGATCGACTTATTAGGTATGCCAATCTCCCTGCCGAACGTGGGCCCAGCAGGATTTGGCCATACCTGGTACTGATTTCGCAATTCACCCCTCTTGTTGATTTCGTAGAAATTCATGGACTGAATACAATAGGCAGTTGACTATAGCAAAGCTGTTGATACTCAATGTTTACGTACAATCGCGTCAACAATTAGGCACATCAATAATCTTAGTAGACCATATGCTGCTGAACATGATGCTCGTTCTCAACCGATGCGTTTTCTCGACGGATGCGTTGCATACGTCCCCGACCCCTTACGCACCGGTTCAGGACGGATTTGAAATAAATAACCTAGCTGTCATTGGTTGAAAGCTAATTATAATACAACCAATCACTTGACACTAAGCACAACAAGAATTTCAAAGTTTGAAATTCATACGTATGGAGCAAGCTAGGCCATCCAACCCGGCCCGTTTCGGCCATAAACGAGTCTAAAGGGCCTAAATGCCAACGCTGCTAGAGTCATGCGAGATGAAGTGATACACCAACTTTGAGACCTTTTATCTCATGTTTTAGTTGTCTGACGGAAACATGCTTGGTATCGAATTAAAGCTCTGAATTCCCTCTTTTAAGTAAACACCAGTAATCACTTTGAATGTGTAATATGGTCAAGATACACTTAAACGAAAAATGTGTCGATTGAAAATCGACTCTGCTGAGACAAAACCCTGTCTTATCTGCACGCCACAGATGGTTTTGGTTATTTTTAACCGTAATTTAACCAACCTGACAGACATAATAGTTTAGAGATATAATAACCTCTCTAATCTAAAGGGAGATTTCGTACTCTTCAATCACGTCTGCCGTGCTGCTGTTCATCGCTCTGTTCGTCACGCTGGTCAAGCTGCTGTCGTTGTTGTCTGAAAGGTCTTGTAGCTCTTGAATCGTTGGCGCTGGTGTAACTGCTGGAGGTGATGCTGAGTGCAGGTACTCCTGCTCCTGCTTGCGAACCTTTTTGTAGGCCCCCAGCCACTCACGGGACGTGATATCTCGCAAGCCGTCTGCAATCTTGTCCCCCAGGTCTGCCACCGAGGATGGCGGGTCCATAGCAATCCTGTTCTTCAGCGCCCCCCCCCCCCCC